AGAAAGAAAGAAAATCTGGAGTTATTTGCTACCATCCTAGTGAATACACACACACACACACACACACTTTATGTTGTGTCTGGTAAAAAAATGGTTTCAAGGAAAGAAAGTGGATTCCTAATTTAAACCAGTATGCTATGTCTGCAGTCTCCTTATGGTAATGTTTGTTTAGTTTTCCAAGATTCTTGAAGAGCAGAGGGCAAAACAGAGAAACTGTGGACACCTGAGTGAATTTAAATGTTGGATCTTTACTCAAACATTTTATAAAGAAGGTTCTTTTTCTTCCCTACTTGTAAAACAACAGTTATGTATGAAAACTAAGATTTTGATACTGTCCATTTTCTTTTCTATATTTCACAATATAATTGCATGATTAAAATATAGCCTCTCTTTTATAGTGAGGATATTGAGATGATGATGATGATGATGATGATGATGATTTTCCATAGCCAAGTTCTTAACCACTACCCTAATCTGCCTCAAATGGGGATCAAAAACCTGTGCTATCATTTAAGTGTGATAATATAATTAACTTGGTCTAAGCCCATGGTTGGCAAACTGTGGCTCACGAGCCACATGCGGCTCTTTGACCCCTTGAGTGTGGCTCTTCCTAAGCCTTAGGAGTACCCTAATTAAGTTAATAACAGTGTACCTACCTGTATAGTTTAAGTTTAAAACATTTGGCTCTCAAAAGAAATTTCAATCACTGTACTGTTGATATTTGGCTCTGTTGACTAATGAGTTGGCCAACCACTGGTAAGCAAAAAAAAAAAAATTTTAGGACTTGCTTGTCTCTATGAATTTGTTGTAATGAGGTTGGGTTTATAAACAACACACAGAAGTCTTCTTGTTCAATCTGTGTTGTGATGGATGGCACACATCTCTGGGTTATCTGACCAGATTCATCAGTTCAACCAAACACAAGTTACCACATCACAGGATCATTGAGCCACTCACCACCCAGAGATGAAATTCCTTAGAGCATCAGCCATGTACAGGGTGTCCCCCCAAAATAGCTACACACTTTAACAGCTGATAGCTCAATTTTGAAAATAAAATGTATTCAAAGTGTGTGTATACATTTTTGGGGGACACCCTATACATCCCTCTTGTATCCCTGGTACCTGATCCCAGTATAGACTGAAAGTCAGCTAAACAAATCAGGAAGATGAGGTTTATGGCTTAATTTACTCTCGTAAAGGTTTATGTGGTGTGGTCGATTATTTGCAACCTGGCTGCTATAATTCCTCCCTGTGTATGCGTGACTCTGGGATTGGCCATGTGATTTGCCTCAACCAACAGATGCAGCAGAAGTGGCGGCACATGAACCTGTCCATAGAGGTCTCGCAGCTTCTACTCTTGAGCTCTGCGGCCTTGCTACCAGCCCAGACTATCCTGCTGACTATGACCACCCATTTCCAGAAGTACCAGTGAGGCCTAATCAGTCCATCAGGCCCCAATTTTGTCACTGGGACATATACATGACCCCATGTGAACCCAGCCCACATGACTGACCTGTAGAATAATGAGCAAATAAGAGGAATAAAATGGTCCCCCTTTAAGTCACTGAGATTTGGAATAGAAAATAGGAATTTTTTTTTTTAATATAGGAATAGAAAACTGATACCTTTGAGCTTTGAAAGCTGAATATTTTCATCTAGCTCATCGTTAAAGTGAATAAAACCAGACAAATTGTGAATAAGAAACCCACTGAAAAGGTCCATTTTTTTAAAAATATATTTTATTGATTTTTTTACAGAGAGGAAGGGAGAGAGATAGAGAGAGCTAGAAACATCGATGAGAGAGAAACATCGATCAGCTGCCCTCTGCACATCTCCTACTGGGGATGTGCCCGCAACCCAGGTACATGCCCTTGACCGGAATCGAACCTGGGAACTTTCAGTCCGCAGGCCGACGCTCTATCCACTGAGCCAAACCGGTCTCGGCAGAAAAGGTCCATTTTAAAAAAACCTCTTATAGTTGAACACATCTCCACCACATGAGGGAGGTTCTTCAGAGGTAATCAGCGGGGACGTTCTGTTCTTATTTTGTTTCTTTTTCTTAGAGGAGCCGGTGCTATGAAACCAAATTTGCAGGTCAACTTGGGGGCATGTCTTCACAGACCGAGGACACGTGTTTGGTTAGACCTGTGTCTTTTATTGTTTGATAATACGTCAAGTGAAACGAAATCGCCTGATGCTGTTTTTTCTTTGGAATTTGATGTGCAACAATAATAGTTCTGTGATAATAAGCTTGGATTCGAGGAGTGGTCATAAGGGTAGAGTGAAAATAAAATGAAACATTGGAATAAAGCCCTGCCCATGAAGGTATGGAGCGCTCAGACCACTGAGGGGTGAGTGGGTTACAGAGGAGAGCAGGTTGAATGTACTTGATAGAAGAGGAATAACCCATTGACCGGGTATAGGAAGAGGTCAGTAACTACAAGCTGGTTGGCTGAGGGTGTTGTCCTGGGGCGAGGAAAAGGGGTTTCCTCGTTTAAAGGCTGTTTTTTTTTCCCCTCCTAGCCAGAATGCCAAAAGCAGCAGAACATAATTCTCTTCTTTTCAAAACTTTGCCAATGTAATATTAAATATAGTGCAATTACCATATTTTTGGCAGTGAGTAAAGCCCTTCTACACATTGTCTCATTTCCACAACAATTTTGGAAGAAATGTTGTCACTACTTTTGATCGATAAGGAAACTGAGGCTCAAGAAGGCTGAGTAACTTGCCAAGCCGACAGCTACTAAGCGATTGATTGGGGTCTCCCCTCGGAGCACCTCCACTAACCACAAGGCTAGACTCTTGGATTCCCGGAAACGAGAATGTGATGAGAGACTTGGAGAAGGAGAAACATCCAAAGACCTAGACATCCATCCATCATAGACACGCATGACATGGAACCAAGAGGCTGTTCTGCCCATATCTTCGTCCCTGTGCCTACATTGTCCCAGATGAAAATGGGATTTGTTATGACGAAGACACCAATTCTCTCCAGTGTATATTTTTTTTCTTTCAAAATACAAAGTGGGAGGCTTTATTGAAAAAAAAAAAAGTTTCCCCCTAAACTAAAACAATGTTATTTTCAGCTAGGATTTGCCATTGTGTAGAAATACTTTTTGTTCATTGTGTAGACTGTAATCAAGATTGAAGCAAATTCAAGAATCTGTCCTAGGGATATTGTTGAAAAGTCCCAACAGATATGAATTCTTGAAGAATTCGGTGGGACTGTTAGCTGTGTTTTCTACTTGCAGTGGAACTGGGAAGACTTCGTGTCTGAGAAAGCAAATTGAGAAAATACACCCCCTTCTTAAACTCTTTCTGCTAGGAGATCTCCCCGTGTCCCATCATATACGCACCCTTCTTTTTGTAATTCAACCATGAGCCATAGTTTCTCTGTTCTGAATGTTCTGGACTAGAGTCACATACACATGGAGTAAATATGGAGGTGTCAAGAGATGGCAGGTGACATGAGCAGGCTGCAAAAGCTTTCTGAACCCCCACTTACGTAACACCAAATAATGTTTTGATGCCCAATCAGTTTAGGGCTTATAAATTATAGTAAAATTTGGGGTAGCAAGGAGAGGTTTTCATGAACAAGTTTCTTTTTGTATTTTTTTTCAGTTCCTACCAAGATAAGGAAAGTTTCCAATCCAAAACCAATCGGCTATCATTGAGGAGCTCATGACCCATAATTGGGGTGTTCATGCTCGCTCCTGTAGCAAATCTGTGCTGTAACAGACACTCTGATATGAGGGTAGGATCCATACTATTAATTAATTGGTTCAGGATGCTGTTCTAACATGCCTTTGATATCGACTGTCTTTCTTTTTTTTAATTGTTCACTCGATTCAAATACAGACAACTGGGGGATAGGGAAAAAAGGACAGAATGCAACTGGGAGCAATTTGGAAAGCTTGCATCATGTAATGAAGTCACATCTATGTAGCTGAAATGAACCAGACTACCGGCTGCTCACGCTGGGACCACTTCAGGTTATCTGGAGACGATGACATCATCGCGAAGGGGACAGGACCACCCGCCTCTGGAGGGCTGACCCGACTCAATCCCCCAGTTACTGTCCCAGCTGGCTTTTCAATTTTTATTCCTCAGGTTTTGTTTCGGTTTGAGTCATCTTTGCTCATTTCCAACATAACGGTCCATACTCCTCTATCAGAGAGGAAAACCTTTCTACCATCAGTTGCTCTTTGGTGATCATGGCGAAGATAAAGGGGACACTAAGCAAGTTGAAAATGGACTCTCTCTGTCCCAGATGGAGTGGGTGTGAATCTTGGGGGAGAGAAGATGAAAGTAGAGGACGATGCGTCTTCTCACCAGCATGGATGCTGAAATGTACAGAACACATTGTTTACAGCATCTCCGAGCCCAAAGGGCAGCAAAGCCCAACTAGTTTGAAAAAACACACACACACACACACACAAATCCTTTTCACTGCCCGTGGACGAAATTACCGACTGACATGCTAAACCTATTAAATAGGTATTTTGCAAATTTTGAAATGAGGAAAAATGCTATGTAGAAATTTTTACAGATGCTGAATGATTGTAAATGTGGTTAAAGATGTGGGACTCACTCCAACTTTGTTCTTTCGTGGATTGCTATTAGCTTACATGTGAAATCTCTGTTGGCCACGAATTTCACATTGTTCTTCCAAATGTAATCATTTCTCTCTTTTATCTGATCTCCTACAGTCTCTCTGTTTTCATCAATATCTGACAGCAATTCCCAGAGATCCAATATAGTCCACTCTCATATCCTTATGTGTACTTCTCTCTTTGAAATCTAATCCCTTAGCAGTGAAATAATTTATTGTGCTTTATTTAGACTTTTATTTTTTGCATGTGTTTTGATACTGTCCTTTGGAAAAGAGTTGTTTGGAAATTTAAACCAACTGTTCACTAAAAGTTATGAAAGCATGATTAAGAAATTTTCTCTCTTTTTAAATGCCCTTTTTTGATCCTTTTTTGGTTTTTTTTTTAGTGTGCTATGGCAAATGCCACAAAGTCCATGGGTCTGGCAACGAAGGGAAAATGAAGATGAAAACTTCTTGGAGCTCAGCTAACGGGTAAGCCATACAGAGGATATAATGAGCCAGAAAAAATTAGTGACAGTCTTATTGTTCTCGAAAACCCTTAGATCTTGTGGTTGTTAGAACTGGGAGATGTTGCCTTCATTGAATGTGACTTTCTCGTAGTATGACGATGGCCTAACATATTCACCTAGTAAACAAGTGGGAGCTACTCAGTTCCAAATTTCATTAGACTATATTTCTCTCCGTCTTGAGTCCTAAAGAAATGCATTTTGTGAGCACTATCTGAAGAGAAGTTTTTATGGGTACATTACAGCCTAATAGGTGCGTTGTTAAGTTAAAGGGGAAACTTGTTCCAGCGAAGTAGTTGGCAGAAAACCATAAATCTTAATGGATAGGAAAATATGCCTTTCAATAAAAAAAGGAAAGAGAGAAACAGACCCAGGAAGCAAACAGGCAGGAAACCCTGCTTCAAGGCTCCTTGAAATATCAGGCCTGTGAGTAGCATCTAGCAGCGTGCAGCCTCTTCCAGTGTTTATGGTCACCCACCCACATATTATCATTGTCTTCTTCACGCATCCCTTCTAGTCCTTCAGAAAATTGTCCCTTGGTGGTGCCAAAAATTTGAGGCAAGAAGGAAGAATGCCTCGCTTTATGGCTAACCTGTGAAAATGTGTTCTGTTGCCAGTGTGGTGGTGGTTGGGATTGATTTTTTTTCTCCTCTTCTCACATGGCCCTCATATCCTGGCTCGATAGATCTTGACGTGCAAATGAAATTCCATCCTGAATAAGTAAGCTTTGTTTATTGGTTGGAGGCTGAAAAACTCTATTTCTTATTCTTCTGTACATCATGGAAGATATATGTACCACTGCTTGTTCCTGAAGTTCACTCCTCACCAGTAAAATGGACAGGCAGAGGGGGGATCTGGGTACAAAGAATGCTCCTGCTCTTCTGTTACGAAGATGTGAGAATGTGAATTAAATAGCCCCTGGGTACTTCCTGCAGCCCTAAGAATCCTTGAGATACTTGCAGGACATTCACTGTGTTGATAAAGTTTTGTCTGTAGAGACCGTGTGTACCCTACACAGACACGAGTGACCATACTTGCCCATCCGTGAAAACTTATTGAGCGTTTTCGGTGGTCTGGAGTCAGATGTGGACAGAACAGAGGTAGCCTCCTTCATGGAGATATTTACATTTGCACAATGTTCAACACTTTGAACGAATTGTTCAACCAACCAATTAATTATTTGACAAGGTTGATTGAACCTGCATTACGTGCCACAGTTATGTGACTATGCAAGGTGTTGGGATTCAAAGACTTGATCCTGACTCTCAAGGCACTCTTGAGTTTAGTGGGTGAAAATCTGAGCCAGTGCATACAATAAATTATAACTGCCCTGGTGATGGGGCTAGTGTGAGCGTTCAACCAGAGTGGGTCATGTGATTAGGGTAGACAGAATTTCCATCATCTCTAGTAGCCAATCTTTTCTCTAGACCTGTCATGATAGAACTTGGCATTATCCTGATATGACTTCTGCTTTTTTCATGTGCTCCCCTAATGCTTTACAAAACTTGCACTGTGGATATTGACTGTTTTTCTATATCAAGTTTAGTTCCTCTCATAACTTCAGACCCCACTAGTTCAAGAATTACGCTGCACCAGGTACTTGCTATAAGAATTACTGTAAAGAAATACATTTAAATCAGACAGTGCTTAATCTTAAAAGTTTATACTTCCATTGGTTCTGAGTCAGCTTCAGGCTAGTAGCCTTGCCACTCAAAGGACCTCACAAAATCATCTTGAATTTGGGACATAAAGGAATAAATTCAAGATGTTTGCCACATTTGAGGCAAAGGGAATGTACTAAATATTGGGAGGGAGGGAATGTCATCTCTCGTCCCTGGTAAACTGCTAACCTACCAAGATGTGCCCAAGGAGAAAAATCAAAACATATTTCAACAGGGTTTCTATTTAGTGGTCACATTCTTGAATATTTCATCTTGTCACTAGTTTGTCCCAAAATAGATGTACAAAGTGGTCCCAGAGGTTTTCTTTGTTTTTCTTCCTGTGAGATGGAAGAACTGTTTTGCTCAACTTGAAGTAGCACAAACTTGGTTTTTTCTTACACTTTTTAAATTAAAAATTTTTTTCAGCCTAGAATTTCTTTACCTTCCTTCCAACAAAAGCAATGGATAAAAGGAGGGATATATAACAATCTTATATTTATGCAAAAAAGAGCTTGTGGCGGGGGTGGGTGTGGGGGTAAGAGAGCAACCAAAAGACTTGTATGCATGCATATAAGCATAACCAATGGACACAGACTAGGGGGTGAAGACATGTGTTGGGAGGTGGGAGTGGCTGGGGAGAGGTCAATGGGGGGAAAAAGGGGACATATGAAATACTTTAAACAATAAATAATTTTTAAAAAGAGCTTTTTAGCATCTACCAAGTGTAAGAGAGCAGGAGGAATTGCCATATAAAAACGAAATTGCAAAATTAGTTCAACACGGTTCCTTAGAGTAAGCATGTCAAACTTGCTTTAAAGCAGTGGTTCTCAACCTGTGGGTCACGACCCCTTTGGCCGTCGAACGATCCTTTCACAGGGGTCGCCTAAGACCATCCTGCATATCAGATATTTACATTATGATTTATAACAGTAGCAACATGCAACATTACAGTTATGAAGTAGCAACGAAAATAATTTTATGGTTGGGTCACAACATGAGGAACTGTATTTAAAGGGCCAGAAGGTTGCGAACCACTGCTTTAGAGGTTCCTCATCTAATGGAGATGATAGACAAACAAACAAGTAACTATGTTATACTCTACTTAGTCAATAACTATTTATTGAGCAACTGCTATGCACTAGATATGAGATGGGCTCCGGGAATATAGTACCGAATAAGACTCAGATTCCTGCCCTCATGGAGTTTACATTCAAGATGGGAAAACAGGATGCATATAAAAATGATAAAATACATACATACATGAAGGTGATTAACTCCAGCAAGTAAACAAAGTGGGAGCTCTGATAGTGAATGTAGAGTTTTTCATCACAGAAAGTGTGAACATGAAGATTTCTGTAGTTAGTACTCCCTTGAATAGTTGTCAGTCATGTCATGAGAGAGTTGGGGCATGGATGCTCCAGTGGCTTATGGTGAGAGCTACAGGTGAGAGTCAATCCAAATGCCATATCCTTGTGTTAAAAAATTCCTGAAACCTTAAGGCAGAGTAGCAGTTACTTCTCTTACCAGATACTTGATTTGTTGGTGATGGAAATTTTGCTGCTCTGATCAATTCCAAAGCAGGTTAAAATTATTTGTAGATTAAAAAAGTATTTGTCTATACACCTGGCTTCCCACCAGGCTGAGTTTGCATTCACCATTTTCCATTGTACCTTGTGCCAGACCTGGGGTAGGTGTCACAGTGCTTTTGGTTTTGGCTCCTTCTCCTCTCTTCCATCAGCTGGGACCACACCCCAGGTGAGACGATGAGCAGGGTGCAGACCCCGGCACAATGCCAGCGGAATATTGAGCCTAGGCAGCGACAGAGCTGTCTCACGGGTCCCACACGCCGAGGGCAGATTCGCTTTCTTTTCTCTTCCACTGTAAAATAGAACCTGTAATAACCAGGAGGGAGCCGTGGGGAGCAGAGCTGACAACCAGCCAGAGAAAGGGGGGACCACAGGGCTGAGAACCAGAAAGGACAGGGAGAAAATGGAAGAATGGAAGGAGAGAGAGGAGATCAATGGGAGCAAAGTCTCTGTTCATCTTACATGGGAGGAAGCTAGGGAAGAAGGGAGAATTGAGGTTCTGAACACATCAGAGCCTCTGGGCGATTGCCAAATCCCCAACTTGCCTTTGATAATATTTTTTATAAGTTAAAGTATATGATGCCAGTGCGTAAGGTTGGACAATGTTATGTCATTTTCTAGACATTGGCTGTTGTTTTTTTTAAATTTTATTGTTTAAAGTATTACAAATAGTAGTACATAATGTCTCTTTTTTCCCCCATTGACCTCCCCCTGGCCTCCACTACCCCTGGCACATGCCCTCACATCCCCCCCCCCAAGTGTCTTGTGTCCATTGGTTATGCTTATATGCATGCATACAAGTCCTTCAGTTGATCTCTTACTAACAGTTTGAATATATAAACAGAGGTGGTCCTCTAACTTCATCTATTGAAGAGAGGAGTAAAACAATGGGTTTGTAAATGGTAGGAGCTGAATAGTTTATTAGTAAATGAATAAAAGTTATCAGTGAAAGATAAGTCATCGCTCCTCTAGTGATGTTGGATTGTTTGCAATAACATTAGCTATATTAATCGGGCTCCTTCAATTGTAAGGAGGACACCTAGGTTATAGAGAGGGAAAGCAGGCAGGCATCATTCCAGAATGAAACAAAACACTTATACAAAGGTCTAACTGGGTTGGCTAAAAGTTTTAAGTCTTAACAGTATAGAGTGGAGAGATATAAAATGTCTAGAATAATTTAAATTGTGAGGAAAAAAATGTAGGGTGCCTCACAGGGACTTGGTGGGCGGAAAGGTACGGTACTCATGTTGGGAAAATCAATGATGAATAAAATAATCATTCACAGTTTACAAGGGGGTACTTTTCTGAAAAGCACCTCTTCTATGTACAGTTTATTTGCTAGAACTCAAATTTATTTGCCAGGGCTCAGCATATGCCATCACCTACCTTCCAGGGGCTGAAAAATATAGTTTTCATTTTTCAGGAATGAGGAATGAGAAACAAAGGTGGTGAACATTGAGTGTTATCTCTGGCACAAAACTCTTTTCGACAGTCTTTCTCAGTTGATCAGAAAGTATAAAAATTTCCACAAATATTGTTTATTCAGACTGAACTCTAAAATTTGTATAAGTTTTCCAATGAACTTGCTTACATTTTTTCATTTTAGCAAATCTTCACAAAATTCCTGATTTTTTAAAAAAGTGATCATATTACTTAAGGGCTCGATTTTATGGTCTTTTATCCATATCCTGAAAGGATGAGGCATAAAAAATATCTAC